AGGACAGATATATGCAAACAGAGAAATATGCAGAAAAATCTAAGCCGAGCAGAGAGAAGGAGAAAAAACATGGGATGGATACTGAAAGAGAGACAGAGGCAAGTGTTGTAGGTGCTAACGCTTTGAGTGAAAGATGAGCCTGCCACCAACAGCTCCCAGCCCGATGAATTAGACAGCAAGTTCTCCTGCAACATTTCCCTCTCTCACAAACTCTTTCTCTCTCTCTCTCTCTCTCTCTCTCTCTCTCTCTCTCTTGCTCTGGCCGTTAGGGTGATTTGCCACATCATTACTAATTGATAATCACGTTGGAGAGAAGCCATGAGAGGCGTACTACAGAACGTAGTACTGTGCTGACATTTCCTGGCTGGAGTAATGACTAGGTGACTTTAGTGAGAGGCCTTGCAGGGCAGACAGTGAGAACGGGCAGCCGAGGGGAAAATTGCAGAGATGGTTGGCCCATCCATTTTTCCCTCCTTAACCCAGTGAAGAGGAAATGTGCGTGAAAGCTCAGCTGCGGTGCAGTATACTGACTGGCTATTTCTACAGGTCCATTTTGGTCCAGGTCTTCCTGATATTGAAATCACAGTGTGCGGTAGTGAATGCAAACTGAACATGGATATATAGGGGAGGCCAGGGATAACTGTAACACCTTGCACCAATTTAAACTGAAAGAAGTTGTAAGTCACGGTGGACAATTAGGGCTGGGCGATAATATGGTAACGATAATTATCGCGAAATAATTTTCCTCGATAAAACGATAACAAGAGTTCCATAAATGGTCGATGTTTATGCGCCAAAAGTGGAATGAAACAGAGCTACTCATTTGTGCTGCGCAACCAGTGTTGCCAACTTCTTTCAATGGAAAGTAGCTAAAGCCAGCTTAAAAAAGTTGCTAAATGTCACTAGATGATGTCATATGCTAATTAGCATATTCACTACATCATTACGTCGTATTGCCATTTACATTTTTTTGCCTCTCTGTGCTCACACACTTTATTTTAATGCAGCCAAATAAATAAAACAGTTTTTATTTATATGTTTTACCATTTCTGTTGTCAGGTAATGAGATGAATATGAAATAGTGACTGAAACGCGGCCCATTAAGACTACATAACCAGCCAGTGCTCCACACAGAGATCTGATCTTATCATCATCCAGTCTGTCTGGAATGACATGAAGAAACAGAACAAACTGAGACAGACTAAATCCAGAAGAACTTTGGCAATGTCTCCAAGATGCTTCGAGAGACCTACCTGCAAAGCTACCTGAAAAACTATGCGCAAGTGCACCTAGAGCAAAAGCTGCTTTAAACACAAAGGATGGTCACACCAAATGTTGATTTAATTTAGTTAATAGAAGTTAATTGATAAAGAAAATCTATTTATGACATTATTTTTGACAGCATCCTCATTTTACAGCCTTTTTACACAAGTGCCTAAAACCTTTAACAGTACTGTAGCTTTGCAGGTAGGTTTCTTGGAGCATCTTGGAGATGTTGCCACAGTTCTTCTGGATTTAGTCTGTCTCGGTTTGTTCTGTTTCTTCATGTCATTCCAGACAGACTGATGATGATCCGATCAGATCTCTGTGTGGAGCACTAGCTGTTGTCAGACTCCTTGTGCAAACAAAAATCTCACTGGATTATTACAATTAATGGCAAAATTAATGTTTGGAAATGTCAACTGATATTTCCTACTGACACACTACAGCAAAATATAGAAATAACTCACCTAAAACCATTTTTAGCTGGTGACAATACTAGTGTTCTAATAATTTTGGCCACCACTGTATAATCAAGCTGTCGTCTGAAGAAATCAAATACACGTAAGAAAAAGAGAATGCCTGTGCTGTGATTTCAGCTGTACTGCATTTCTGCACAAGCTTTTTTCTATTAAGATATTTATTATTTTAAGGAAAAATGACTGGAAAAGTGTAAAGAATTCAAAAACGTTTAGTGTTTGTCATGTTCTGAACATAAAGAGTGGTTTAAAACCACAATTGTTTTGTTTTACAGTTAGAGGGGAAAAGTGTACCAAAAACAGTGTTCCCCTTCAGGAACTCGAGCTGCGTCGAAATCGCTTAGGGAACGCCCCTGCGTGACCGCGGGAATCCGCTTCGCATGATCAAGGTCACGCGGCGATGCTTACGTGCCTTAGACATGTGGAAGAAACGTTGGTTCCGGGTTCAAGGCCCGATGTTAGGGGATCCTTGTCGTCGCGTAACGCTAACGATGGATGCCTCTCTCACGGGCTGGGGAGTGGTCATGGGTGGCCGCTCTGCCCAGGGTCTGTGGGAAGGCCATCATCTCTTTTGGCACATCAACTGCCTGGAAATGCTGGCCGTGTTTCGAGCTCTGACACACTTCCTTCCAGACCTAAGGGGGCATCACGTGCTTGTCCGCACAGACAACACATCGGTGGTCTTCTACATCAATCGGCAGGGGGGTCTGCGTTCGCGCCCCTTGTACAAGCTGGCGAGGGACCTCCTCTCTCAGGCGGGGGGCGCCATTCTTCACCCCCGCCCGGAGTTATGGAAGCTGTGGGCATGGCCCCTGAGGGGGCACAGCTCCTAGCATCTGGTCTCTCAACTGAGGTTGTTGAGACTATACTCCAGTCCAGAGCTCCCGCCACTAGGAAACAGTACGCCTTGAAGTGGAAACTTTTCGCTTCATGGTGCGGACAGCGACTGCAGGACCCAGTCAACTGCCCAATTGGTACAGTTCTGGAGTTTCTGCAGGAGCGATTCTCCGCAGGGTTATCTCCCTCCACTCTGAAGGTATACGTGGCGGCCTTAGCTGCTTACCACGCCCTTCTGGGTGGTCAATCATTGGGAAGACACCCACTTGTCACTCGTTTCCTCCGTGGCACCCTGAGGCTGAGGCCGGTACAGCGCACTAAGGTGCCCTCATGGGACCTGGCTGTGGTTCTGGAGGGCTTATGCAATGCCCCCTTTGAACCCATAGAAGAAGTTTCGGTCAAGTTGCTCACGCTCAAGACCATCATTCTCCTCGCTATTTCCTCACTAAAAAGGATCGGGGATCTTCAGGCACTTTGTTTCGTGCCTGGAATTTGCTCCAGGCATGGTTAGGGCATTCCTTTACCCGAGGGCCCTAAGGTGCCCACTTCTTCACCAGGGCCCATAGTACTTCAGGCATTCTGTCCTCCTCCGTTCCAGGAAGTAGGCCAAGAAAGGCTTAATCTGCTCTGTCCAGTTCGAGCACTGGACGCTTACGCACACAAAGCTGCCCCGTGGCGTAAGGCAGATCAGCTTTTTGTTTGTTTTAGTCCACCAAAGAAAGGATCTCCGGCGAAGTGGGTATTCTCGTTCCCAAAGCGATTTCGACGCAGCTCGAGTTCCTAAAGGGGAACGTCTCTAGGTTACGTATGTAACCATGGTTCCCCGAGGGAACGAGACGCTGCGTCTCTTTGCCATACTCCCTGCATCCCTCCAGGCGCTACTTCATCGAAGCTGGTTTGCGCTCTGCCGGATGCGCTTTTATACTTTCTGGTGCTTACGTCACCCCGCTCGTGACGTCTCGCTACTCCATTGGACTGATCTGACACGTGCTTCAGAACGCGGTCACGCAGGGGCGTTCCCAAAGCGATTTCGACGCAGCGTCTCGTTCCCTCCGGGAACCATGGTCACATACGTAACCTAGAGACGATCTCCCCTACTTTAAAGTGTTACTTTAAACTCTGAGCTTTAATGTGAAGCAGGATGTTTGACAAAATCTTCAAGTAATTCATAACTCTGTTGTGGGAAATGTAGATAACTTCTATCCTCGAGTGAAGTAAAAATCTCCAGTTTATTTTCTCATTCGGCACTCAGCCTAATTGTTTTCCATTTTAATCTTGTGCTGACAGAGTAATAGTCACTATGAGCCTGGCCAGGTCTTCAGTGTGTCTTCCATTAACAAGGCTGCTCTGCATTCACCATCCATCACTCTAAGCTTGGGATAACCTTCAGTCCAAACAAACTAAACCCAGCCTCAGCTCAGTGCTCATCTCAGTCTCACAGCGCCAATCTCTCTGAAGCTTTGATCTGTACCGCATTGAGTCCCTTTAGCTCTAATGAGTTGAAACATCCCATGTTACTTAATAGTTCTGCTAGGAGGTGGAAGCCCTCGCAGCAATGACTGCTGGCCTGGTCTCTTTCCCTCTCACTTGAGAGAAAATTTATTTGTAATTGTTATTGACATAATGTGAGCCACGAGACAATGGGAGAGCACACTCTTCATCCCTCAGAAATGAATAGTCTGTATTGAAGTCTCTGGATGCACAAACCTATTGCTTTTATTCTCTTGGAGCCCAGGCTGGAGAAGAGGCAAGGGAAGTAAAAGACACATTGAGAAGTTTTATTGTATTATGTGAGCACTTTCATTAATCTATCGAGGAAGTGAGCCCCATGGCACCAACTACCGCTCTGAGCTGGGAATAGCCTTCAATAAAAAAACACAGTGAAATATAACATGAACAACATAGGTCAATCCTTGTGACCTCAGTTTGCCATTGAGCTCTCATACCTTGAGTAACAAAGAGGTCATATAAAAATTCACACAACTCTGAATTCCTTTTTCAATGCAGTTACTTTTGAAGACATCACAGCATCAAAGGAAAAGGAGCTGAGATTTGTGACATATCTGTGCTGCATGATAGACAAGTAAAAAAAAAAAAAAAACCTGAAGCCAAAAACAGTTTATTGGCTTTTAAAACAAACAAACAAAAACACGTTGTTTGATGAAAACTGATCAAGTGACACTCAAAGAGCCTGAGTGCTACTTTTCATTCCAATTGTTATGCTGATAATATAATTTGTAATGATTTTATATATTTAATAAGAAAAATGTAAAATAGATCCATTTTAAAGAATGGTCTCAGACTTTTGGACTCCATTGTAAATACTTCTTGGGTTGGTTGTTTCAGTAAAAACATAAATTACTAATGTAAAATATTGAAATGTTTTTATGAAAAACCATTGGGAACATAATTGCATTTACTGTATTCAAACCATTTCTCTGTAAACCTCAATTATCATTTAATGGCATCACACCTAGTCATTTCAAACTTAATTATATGACACAGTATGTAATTTTGCATAACCAAGTCATTTCTAGGCAGTTGCACTGGCCAATATAATCAACATTCTCATTTCCATCAAAGACCTGCAGGACAGTAAAGCAATACAAATCTTTTATCATTCAGTTCAGTGCTTCATCATCTAATGAACTAACAGCCAAATTAATCATGCAGCCATAAACAGCCATTAACAGAGAGTTTAAGTCTGTACCTTTCATCTCTCCCATGTCTAAAGTCTTCCCTAGTTGTTCCAGTAGATCTGCGCGTGCTGCATTTTTCTTGTGCTTCTTGCCATCGTAGTGTTGCTGTGCCATTCCAGGATTGTTGAACCAAGCATTGCACAGCTGACAGTAGCGATCAGAATCCCGGTGCTGACGGGTCGAGCTCATAGGTGAGGTTTCTGAGGAGGGTGTTTTCACTGGACTAGGTGTCACCTCTGCAGAAACAAAGCAGAACAAGAATTAGAATGGAATAATGATTTAAAACATAATTTATTTTATATTTTATATATTTAAAAGGGTCATGAACTGAGAAATCTAAATTTCCCTGATCTTTTGACATATGAGGTCATTGTCCTATAAAAACATCCTGTAAGTTTCAGAACTCAAAACTTTCTTGCTAGTCTAAAAACAGCTTATACTGAAGCCAGTCTGCTAAAATAACAGCTTGTGGAATGTGCTGTTTATGATGTAATACTGTGGCTAAATACTGCCTTCGCAGAAGAAGATCAACGCCTGCTTCTACATCGCTGCCTGTTTAGCCCCGCCCACCAATTCGCACATGTATCGTAAATAACGAGAGAAGCAAACGATAAAGATGGCTCCGAAGACAACAAGACTCAGTGCAGTGCCAAGTTGTGGAAAAACACAGTCTTTGCATCGCCTTCCTTCTGATCATAACGTTAGGAAAGAGTGGATGAATTTTATTTTTAAAGAAGTTCCAGACCGCGACAGTAGAACTTGGTCCTTTGTTCACTTCATTTTGCCGCAGATTCCTTTACAAACAAGGCACAATTCGACACAGGATTTTCAAAAAGATTGAAACTAAAATGCTGTGCCGACTATATTGGATCCGACAGTAATGTTTTTATTCAAAATGTAAAAAATCTTGATAACATTATAAAAGTGGACCTCAGAGAACAGTACAAAATAAAAAAACAAAGGCAGTCCATGACCCCTTTAAGACTTCAGATTCGAACGCAATAGCAAAATATGCTGGGGAGGTGTGTTTGGTAAGTCTGCAGAAGTTTGGCAACCAGGTACAAGATGGTAAATTCTGTAGATTGCTATATAAAACTTTAGGCAATGGCCAAGATTCGGTGCTCTCTGGGACATACCCCTAAATATTGGGGGAGAGATTCACTGCAAACTGCAGGAGACTTTTTTCCTCCATATTTCCATTACACTCTCTGTGCATGTTTATTGGAATCGGGGTCCAAAGTTATTGCTAACAAATGCTGGAGAAATTGAGAAAATGTACAAGTCATAAATGTTTCTTACTGGCCACTAAACTGTAATTTGTATTATTTTATTTTAAATATACATACACTACCATTCAAAAGTATGCATTAAATGAATCAAATGTGACATTAAACACTTGTACTCCATGACAAAAGATTTCACTTTACAATAAATGCTGTTCTTTTGATATTCATCAAGAATCGTGAGAAAAAAATCTATAGTATAGATATGGTTATATTTTCATTATATTGTTATACATTATTTATATTTTCCATTCAAATTTCATTCACTTGCAACACTACTGTTTCCATCTTTCAGTGACATGAAAATGCTACAAAAACACAGAATTTTGTTCTTATTGCTGTTTTAGAAGCTTCATGAAGAATATCCTATACATTTGTCATAACATGGTTTTCTGAAGAAAAACGCCTTTGTTCTAGATCAACAAAAGTTGTTAGAAGAGGTGAGGGTCGGGGCTAAGGTTTTACAGTTTGTTTGTACTGCTTTGATTCTACTGCTTACATCACAAGGGGCACACTATTTGTTTTAAACCAAGTAATGTTGCCATTTCTAATAAAATGATCTGCCAACTGGCAATGAACTTTGTTTATACACTTGCCAAAGCCAAGTTTTACTCTCATTTGGCGCTTTAAGTGTATGATTTTGGACCCTAGTTGCAATCCAGATAGCTTGAGGATTTTTGGATTTTCTGTAAGTACACGCTCAGAAAGCAAAAGAGAAACTCACATAACAAATTATTCCCAGCTATGTGATGACATTTTACTGTTTGGATAACCCAATGAAACAAACAAAAGTATGTCTTATTCTTGTTTACTTCAGTGATTCTAGTCAGAAATTATTTCTGATCTTGACAGCAACAACCCAATTACTGAGATTTTATTCATCATTGTGTTTGGATGTGTTCTCTGCTACATAACTAACAAGCTGTTGCCAGTGACTTTATCAGGAAGATGATGCTCTGCATTGTTTCTGACAGTCCTGCGTTTGACCCACACACACACAAAGCCAAGCTTCTTTACTCATTTACTGTTTGGATGGCAGCATCACCACAGAGCAGACAGAATAAACACAAAACACCACAGAGAATCATAATGCCAGGCCAAACAATCAGTTTTAACACCTCAGTGGCTGTCCACTCTGCCATGGACAATGTTTACAAAAGCTCTGTTCAGCCTTGACATCACATCCAGTTTTTGGCAGAAGGGACAATTGGAAAGAATGAGCCACTTCCTGTATGAGTTTATTAGTGTTCATAAGTGTTATTGTGCGGTGAGAGTGAACGGACCCAATATCTTTGACAGAGTTTGTTTACATTTACACTGACTGCCTGTTCTTCAGCCCTATTTGCAACTTTATATATGATTTGATACATAAACTACATTAGTAGTGACTGCAAAAGCTATGACAGGGGCTAAAGAGAATCCACATAAGCTTCCTACAAAGCTTTGATTTATTAGCATATCTGTAAAAACCGGGACGTCCACGAACAAAGAGACGCGTTGAAAAGTATTCTTGTTGTGCCAGGAAATTTATACCCTGCCAAAACACGTGCATTATTCCTTCAATCTGTTTTTCACTCTTCTTTTACATTCTTTCCAGCGGGGTTGATAAAAGTATAATGCATGCTTTGGATGGGGCACAATATTTAATTTAGGCAATTAACAACCACTGCTGCAAAAATTAAATTTGATACCGTAAATTAAAATGCTACATGAGATGAAAATTTAAGGAAGATAAATGAGCTGCCACAAGAGAGTGCGGCAGTACATGAGCAGGCAACTTCATTTTTGAGAAAGCTTAATCTAGTTTATTTTTAACTGACGGTCATTCTCTGTAAAGAAATGTTGTTTATTGCAGGGCCTATGAGTTCTTGGCACAATGAAAGACAATAAATTTGCATTAAAGCCATTAAATTAATTAATCCTGCCTGAAGTGTGTTCATACAGGAAATTTACATAGCATTTTATGTGTGGCAAGGCGTAGCTCTCTATGAAGAACTAACGTTAAAAATACAAAGCAAATACAAATTTAATAAAAGTGACAGTAAAGTATAGTACATAATGTGTAATTCATAAAACTCCCTTAAGCCCTGGCTGCCGTTATTGGAGTATCTGACAGACTCTTGCAGTATAACACTATGGATATTAGCAGAATCCGGCACTGAAACATTGGAGTATTGATTTACAAGCTCAGGGGTTTACGGAATGACATCCATCAAAATGAAAAACAGGAAGGTTTCTAGTTTCCTATAAACACAAGACCAAGACCATCCCTGTACAATATAAGATAACTGTGTTTTATTTTAACACAGACATTTTTGCACAACTTTAGTTTTTCATGCCATGTTTTATACAGGGTCACCAAGCTTTTTGACATTATTTACTAGATTATTTGCACTTGTTGTGTTCGTTGTTTCCTTTGAGTCATGTGTCACATGATGACAACTTGCTAGCAGTTCCTTGCTTTAATAGTGAGTGCCACTGTGTTTTGTGTGTGGAATAGAATGAATGTCTTGATTTATTGTTATATTTGTGTACTAAAATTCCATACATTTTTATGCCTGTTTCACACCGCAAGCTTGAGCTTCACATTAGCTTCATGTCAGCGTAAATACATTGTCACTGCAGCTGCAGGCTCGCCAAAGTATTCACACTGGAAGCGTTTGTACAGCACCACAGCAGCAGCTCCAAACCTACATATTTCTTTACAAAGACAACTATAAATTTGTTTTTAGAAGTTGGTCAAAAAGTTTTAAAGTCTTGAAAGTTTGTTAACATGCACCGCTCTTGTTTGCAGTGTGAAACCGGCCTTATTCTGCACAGACCCTCATTATAAACACTGCTCACATGACATCACATGACAGTTCACTTGCTAAGTGAAACATTCTAAATCTAAATTATTACAATTTAAAATAACTCTTTTCGTTTTAAGATATATTTTAAAATTTAATTTATTCCTGTGATGGCAAAGCTGAATTTTCAGCAGCCTTTACTCTAGCCTTCAGTGTCACGTGATCCTTCAGAAATCATTCTAATATGCTCATCTGGTGCTCAAGAGACATTTCTTATTAATGCTAGCGATCTTCAAAACAGTTTAGCTGCTCAATTGTTTGTGTTATACATTTCTTCAGGATTATTTGAGGAATAGAAAGTCAAAAAGTAGCATGTATTTGTTAGGGATGCACCGATACCGATACCGATACTGGTATCGGTATCGGCCCGATACTGAGCTCCTGTACTCATACTCGTTAAAATGCCCCGATACCAAACATCGATACCACACAGCATGTGATAAGTGCCATATTCAGACAAAGAAACACCGACAACAGAACAACAGACAGCAGAATGGAGTTAAGGATGTCTACTACGAAGTATATGTATGCAACGAATATAACCTTAAACTTTCAGTATTAACACCTGTAGCCTATAGCTGATGTGCGCGAGCTGATAAACAAAGCACGCTGAGTGGATTGAGCACGTGGCGGCGCAGATGCGCGAGCTTGTCGAGTGAATATACCTTTCTCACAGACATCACTGGAAAGTTTGTAGTTCGGTCGGATATGTAAAAACAAGTAAGTAAAACAATGCACAAGTTACTTAACGGTAGGGAGAGAG